TTTAACATTTTATTTGTTATTTTGTCCTTTAATGCAAGTAAAATGACCTAGAACAAAAACTTCTCTGCTCAAATAACAGAACTATTTGTGTCCTTTGGTCTAACGTCCCAAATCCTACATCACCCATTCAGTAACTGCCTTACAATAATATTTTCAAAGTTAAATTACAAAAACAATACAAGTTGCAGTTTAATGCTTATCGTCTGCCCTCCATATGGGCTGATTCAAACAGATTCTGAAGGAAGTGAGTTCACCCCAAGACATTCTTGTACCCGGGCCACAGCTGCAGAGTCACACTTCAGATGGTCCACACTTCCCTTTCACAGCCCTCCGGAGCTCACTCAAACCACAGCAGACGTTCAATACAAAGACATTCAACTTTTCAACTGTTATTAAAACGAAATAAAACTGTATGGATACTGTATATGAGCTATACTGTATACTAAACACAGACTATTAAAGCTGGGGTACCTAACTTTGTTCTTCAGAAAGAGCATTTTGATTGTCACAGAATGTCTTGTAAATATAATATTTTGTGAAATATTTAGACAACAAGATCCAATACTCATCATATCCAAAAACAGTTTATCTTTTGCGTATATGTACAAGAAAGAGCCCTGTAGGTATCTATTTGATGCCTTGGGCTGACAGCTCATTGGTCCTCTCGTTTCACTTTTTCTTTCTGAAAAATATGACCTTAAGATGGGAAAGACCAATAATGCAGGTGAAAAACAAGTGATTTTTTGGGGGGGTTGAAAGTTAGGTTCTCCATTCATAAAAGCTTTCCCGCTATGAATTAGAAATTGCATGGGGTCAGCATGTTTTGATAAAGAAGTAAAATATATTTTGAATTCATTTTAAACTTTAACTGTATCACGAATTGGCCTCATTCCTAATCGACGCTAGAATCATCCACACAACAGTGCAACACATTTGGAACAAACAATGTCCAACCAAGGCTGTGGAAAGTCTTTGCTAACAATGAGAGTAGCACCAAATAAAACTTTACATCAAAACACATTTGGAAGAGGGGATTGACTTCAAAGGCGTCCCGGCAACAGTGCTGTCTGTCTAATTTACGTTTTCAAGCACATGCCAAATGTAAAAATCCAATTTTGAGCTGTGCATAATTACAGAGAGTGGAATGAGCGCCTATAAATACCCCCATCATTACCCGTCCCTCCTGAAGAACATGATCCATACAGAAAGATAATTAAGGCAAAATATTTCTGATCCCAGGCACACTGTTGCAGGAATGCATGTGGTGTGTTTACTGCGCATGGGAAGAAAGAGTATCGCTGCGAGTACAAGCAACTGCAAATTCACAAGGCTTTCCCCCTAAATATAGTTATGTTTGAGAGACTTGTGGAGAACTCTGGCAGGGCGCCCTTAATTGGGTTGCACAGTCATTAATGAAACTGTGTGTATTGGACACTGTCAATGCCCTTTAAACAACAACAGACTCTTGGAAGTAACTTTGATCAACAAACATGTAGCAAACAAGAGGATTATAATGAACTTCCATGTTCCTCCCAGGTCTCCTAAAATAGATCATTTCAACTCGGATATATCAGATTTGACAAATTTATTCCGAGATAAGGCCAGCTAATTAGTTGCCCAATATTTGGCAGGGAGCTTTGACTAGGGTCCAAATAAACATATTGTCCTTGTTGAGAAAGAAGTTAGAGGGAATTTCCTTTGTTCTTGACTCGCACAAACTTTTTGCGGCACTCCAGGCTTTTGTTCTCACATCCCTTCATTTGTGTTTGATCAAAATGAACGTTGCTTTGCGAATTCAAGAGAAGTGGACCAGCGTGACAGGTGACCAGTGGTTATTTATAGTCTTGCGTATAACGGTGGCCATGTTACTTGTTGATGGAGGTCTTCCAAGGTTTGTCGAATTGTCATGACTTGAACCAGATGCGAGTTCCAGCAGTAAGCCAGTCGTGGTTGATGTTGCTATTTGTGTTTCAGTGCAGCCTTGTGGAGCGCTTCCAATCTCTTTCTGTTTTCCAAATCCTTGAATAGTTTTCTTATGTTTTGGTGGAATAAAAGCGTGTGGTCACAAGAGTGCTGGTCTCGTTCACTTGCCATTGTGTTGGATGAAACAAGGACAAAACTAGTCAGCAATGGGGGGCCCCCACTCGGGCTCTAAGAGAGCTACGGTGACTTGTTGTTGATGTTGCTTTTGTGTCAACGCTGGACCGTGGCGCAGCACTCACCAAGCTAGATAAATGGATTAGCTGGGGCAGATATAGCAGAGACAACAGTGATGTGGGAAGGTGAAGGGGGTAGAGAAAGGCAAAGGCGTCCATGTTGCAGGACTACATGGGGTCGAGAAGGTTGTTAGAATAGGCTGCTCCTGCCAAAAAGACAAGACAGTGATAAACTTTCCTCCCCATGCAGTTACCTCTATACGCCCCTTTATTCTTCCACTCACACACATGGTTCCCGCACTGAAATGAATGGACAGCCACAGCAGTGACACGTCTCAGTCGCACAGGGACATGCTCCTTGTTCTTGAACAAAAGAGCCGGACATTATGGGGGGCCATTGCAAGTGACAGAATGGTAAATTGTTTAAGGGTCAACAATGTATTGTCTTTGCATAAGGCCTCATTTGCATATGTCAAGATTTTAGTAGTCCAGAACTTTCAAAAGCAGTCTCTTTGAAGTCTTTGCCTTCATAGAAGTTTTTCATTGAAGAAAAATAACAGAATTCGCATTTAAGAATATATGGGCTCTTTAGAATTTCCCTCCCTTAGAATTAGAAGGTTGAAGAATCTATTTTAAATATATAGAAATGATTTATATATTCTAGTCCTTGGTACTGCTATTTTTAATATTATGTAGGTTAGGTTCAATTTTTGCTAATAGGTTTGCCCATTCCAAAATTTCTTGGCGGAACTCGCAGACCAATTTCAGAGCAACCCAAAACACACAAAGGAACCCTAAAAGGGCCTCCACAATGACAAATATTTCAAATTTTCATACGCTGCTTTAAACATCAGAATTCTTAACTCAATTTATTGTATTAACATTATTCAGTAATGGATACAATTTTCGCTTCATTAAAATTATTATGCTATTTTCCATGTCATACTCTATATAAAGATTACTTACTTTACTCTTTATTACCCCCCTCCTCTGCCTTGTGGCCCTGGGCATTGCGCGTGCACACAATATAGAACGCGTGAGGGAAAATGACAGCCTAATTATCAGCTTCAACTGTGCTCATTACCCATTAGACAGTCCACTGTACATCCTCTTACTAAATGAATAATTTTGTATATATTATGGAAACACAATATTATGGCTTGCAGCTAACGCCTGAGCACTAACCCCACGCTGTTCCCGTACAAAAGGAATAAATGGGACACCGAGAGAGGTTATTTAATGTATCCCCCAAAAGCATGGCTACAAGAGGGGAAGTCACGCATGGGGCGAAGACTGAGGCCTGTTTTAATAATTCACTCAATATTTAACGCATGTGTCTTATTTATCATTAAGTTACTAAAGTGCGTTTTAGGGAGAGGATTATGTTTGAGTGATTTTTCGTATATCAGTTTAATCTGATTGTGCGTAAAATGCATGTTAAAAACAAAACAAAAACGAAACCATCTTTTTTGTTTAGGCCTACCGATTTCTGTTTCAAATTTTCATTCCGCGGGCACGTTTTAAATGATTTTGCCGCTTGCACAGCGCAGCGTCAACTTTTAGCCTATACTAATATGTGTATTGTACATTTCTACAATCACAACTTCTCCCTTTGACTTTTGAAAAAAAAAAAAAATCTTAAATTGAAGACGTACATGCATATTGTGGCGCGGTGTTGTTGAGTCATGACGTGTCTCGCCTATAGAGGTCGCTGTTATATTGCAAACCTTAAGCCGCTCCACAGGTTTAGGCCAGTGAAACGTTCTATACACTTTTTTGTGAAACTGCACTCTAATGTCAGGGGGGGGGGGGAAATAATATATGTATTTAATGTAGTCTATTGCAAGAGCACTACAGGAAAGTGAAAATAAAATCACCCCCTTCTCTTACAGCGTATAGAGCCCATTAGGCCTTTGTGTTAAATCAATATTTGGTTTTGGTGGGTGTCTAGGGAAAAAAGGGAAGCGGTTTTATTGGTCTATGATTACTATCAAACTCGAGCAGGCAAGACCTTAAAAAGTGTCGTCCTCCTTTATTCTCTTCGCACACAGACCAGTCTCCGTCTTATTAACCAGAATATTAATAATTCATCTTTACATCGACTTTTCTCCCTGACATATTAGATTTTAACCATTTGATTTTGTTTGGAATGGGCGTTCCCATATTATTACTTAATGACCTTCCCAGCTGCTCCTGTCCATTTTCTGTCACCAGCAACCATCTGGACACTTATTAGCACCTCAATGCATCCACGCCGCTTTGCTGGGCGATGGAATAAAATTAAGCCTCCCTTCCAGGCGTAGCACTGCTCCAGCTCCAGCGCCACTGATAATAATAATAATAATAATAATAATAATAATAATAATAATAATAATAATAATAATAATAATAATAATAGCAATAATAATAATAACAATAATGATAATAATAATAGTAATAATAATAGTAATAATGCAGTTTTAATTTCTCTATAATTTCACTTCGTTTATTAGGCAAAAATATACGATCTGGACAAATTCCTTCAAGGTCTGCTATTTACAATTTCCAATCACTTGATATTTACATGTAAAGAAAGAACACCAAACACAAGGCAGAGACAAAATAATAATAATTATATATAATTATAATAAAGTAAAAAGCCTACCAAAATGTTCCAGTCTGTCTGGCCAAAGTGGAGATAAACATGGGCGCGATAGGCTAAACACAAGGAAGAACCCATCCACAGGATATTACCAAATTATACTAATGTGTTCTGTTCCGACTCGGTGCTACTGCGTAATTGGGCATCGTCCTTTTTACTGCAGGATTAAAGTCTTTTATTTAGATTTCGCTCTTTAGAAGAAGTCAAGCTGAGGACAGTGCCGTGAGGACGCGCTGCGTGTTGTCTGCTGGACTCCTGGTGCTGGCGGACAGAGAGGAGGACAGAGAGGACCTGCAGAGAGAAGCACATGGTTGTTACACACACTTCTCATTGTGTTGCACTTTGAACGCTATTACAAATACATAATAAAAATAACAATTATCTGTGAGTGTGTGTAATATATATATATATATATATAAATTATATATATATATATATATAAATTATATTTATATATGTATACATAAATCCATAGTCAAGTGTTTGAATCGCAGCCGTTTCTCTGTTTGGCCACAGCGTTCCCCAGGGCTGCGGCTCTCCCAGGGGTCTTTAGGAAAAGCACACAGCCCAGACACTGCGCGTTTTACTCGGTGACTTGATAAGTAGCCACATTCTCCCCAGAGGAGACGAATTAAAGGGGGAGTGGGATGAGAGTCAAGACCCTGTCACCGCAAAAAAATAGTCCCCCAAACCACCTTATTTTAACTATAATTTGATGCATACTAAAACAAGTAGTCACATTGAAATGACGTGTGTTGGTGCCTTGAATTCACTTAAAAATGCATGCATGGCCATATACTAAAGAAAGGACGCATGGAGTGATGAGGCATTTTTTTACGTAAAAGGCCCATCATTTTTATGATGGGGAGTATTTAAAATATAGTAGCATGTGCCTTGTATAACTATTCCACAGCATGCAAACTTTCCTCACCTGTCATGAAGAGGGCGAAACGAAGACTTGAGTGGTTGTGCTGGGGGAGAATCTGACCTTACAACATTGTCGTGGTCTGGAAAATACACAATTAACACGGTTAATCGACTATTGCCGTGATAATGACGTGCAAATAAAGTAAACTAAGTGTGTAAATTGAATAATAGAATGTAAAGTAGCCTGGCCTACCTATGTGCTTAGGACTATGGCTCTCTGGACTCTTGCTGTCGCGGCTGAGCGCTGCTGCGGCTGCGCCCGGTGACACCAACACTGATGTGGGCTGCTGCTGCTGCTGCTGCTGCTGCTGCTGCTGCTGGCTCGATAAATGATGGTTGTGGTGGTGGTGATTTACTCCCAGAAACGACCTTACATTTAGCAGGGAGTTCTGACCCAGAAACGCGCCATTTGTCCAGTTGTGGAACTTTCCTATCTGACACGTGTACAGTCCGTGGTTGGACAGAAAGGCAGGGTGCGTCTGGAGTTGGTGGGGTGTTGATGGGTGAGTGGGCCCGCTGGGAGGACAGGGGGAGCTGGGTTTCTGAGAGTTGTCTGGACTCGTGGCGGTCTCTGCTAAAGACCAGATTTTAGGTTTGTTGTTCGAAGGAAGAGGAAAGCTCCCAGGCCTGTCCGGAGAAAGAACTCTCGTGTTATTGTTGCTGTCCTTGGCTCCAGGGTGAACTAAAATGGGGTTCTTGGTTTTGTCAAAGGCCTCATGGGCCTGCAGGGCAAAAGCCCTTCGTTTGTCCAAAGTGTCCAGTTCCACAGTGGACGCATCACCGCCTCGTAGCTCTCTGCTTTCAGTGGATTTGTCATCATCGTCCTCATTGCTCTGATCCCCATCATTCTCGTCTATCTTGTCTATGTCAATACTCTCCAAGTCGATCTCCTCCTCGTCATCGTTCTTTTCCGCCTCATCTCCGCTGCCAAACAAGTTCCCGTCCTCCTCCTCGTCCTCTTTGCTCCTGCTGCCCCATGTCACCTTGTTCTCCTTCTTGAGTCTCCTCCTGGCGTTGGCGAACCACGTGGACACTTGGGTCAGGGTCATTTTGGTGATGATGGCCAGCATGATCTTCTCTCCTTTAGTGGGGTACGGGTTCTTCCTGTGCTCGTTCAGCCAAGCCTTGAGCGTGCTGGTGCTCTCCCGTGTGGCGTTCTTAGGCCGAGCAGGGTCCCCGTACTGGAACTGGCCATATGGGTAAAAGGCTGGAGAAGTGTGGGCAGCGAAGCTAGCGGGATGGACACCTGGACTGTCCTTTAGATCATACTGGGACCCCTACAAATGTGAAATAGGATAAACAAAACATTAGGTCATGTTTTAAGTTGTAGGCCAAAGCCTGCATTTACCTTTATGCCTATTAGAACCATAATGATAATGCTTTGTATATTTATTTATTAATCAAAGTTCCCAACTTTCTCCATTTGCTTTCCCACATTTAGACTACACATGGCCACATAAGGCTGGCACCTGCTCAGGCGCAGTGCTCTCTCTATCACACACTCACATACACACTCACGCACACACACATACACGCACACACACATCCACAGACGCACACACACACTTCCGAACACAAGCTTTCCCACGCGCACACACATGCGCGCTCACGTACACACATGGATAGGCCTGTGTGTAGGCCTTTTTGTCAAACTTTTCTGCTGGTTTTTTAGTTTCAAACTGTTAAATGATTTATGTTGACACTTTTAGCAGTTTGGTAATTTGTTTTCAGTATTTAATGGAAATGAAAGCAGGTGTAAGACCTGCTTGTAAGCTATAAGCTCAATAACGAAAACTATGCCCTTAAAGTCACGCATTCAATGCACGCATCACTAGGTCGAAAAAAATCCTGAACTGTTCAGAATACTGCCTGTTTATTTTGCTTGACATTTTAGTCTATGACCTTTTCATAGAATTAATTAAGAACTGTTTTATAACACGTTGCAACAACCTGTAACTGTAAACTAAAGCCAGGCTAATATTTAACAAACAATATAAATAGTTGTTTACATTTGTAAATTCCTTGAGTAATGATTTGCCAGTTCAACCCAGCCGTGCTCTAACTCATTTACAGAACAAATGTTATTGTCAGCACTTAAACGTGAACAAATCGTGGGTTTGAAAAGTTGTGCATCTTACCATTTGTGAAAATAGCGCCAGATCCGCACTCGTGTAAGGTAAAAAAGCGCTGTAGTTGTGCGCGTATGGACTGGCGTACATGCCCAGGACCGACGATACAGCCGCGGCTGCGGCAGACGGACTTCCCCCAATGTCGGTGCTTCCTCCACGGGACGAGGGGGTAAGAACTCCCGGCCGCTCGCTCCCGTAAACAGCCTGGGAGGCACTCAAGTACTGCGGGTAGCCAAGCTGCGGAAAAGACATCTCACCGCCTTGTTGTGGAACTGCTCTATGATCCGATGGTGAGGAACGAAAAGTGCAAGAGAAAAAGAAAGAGGAAACAAGGGAGCGCACGCTGTAGGTTCACAGCAGACGCAGTGGAATGCAGTCAAAACAAGTCGCTCTTAAATCTCGGCTTCCTCACTCGTTCTATGCGCTAAGTCCGCTGTTGGATGTGATCTGATCAACAAATGCGCTCCAACTGACGCGCCTGGCCCTGAGGTCTCCAGGCTGATCTCTCAGATACAATTTGAAGTTGATGCTTTGATTGGCATCCCCTACTTGAGCCGCAAGCTCCTCCTTGTTTGGAGCAATGTGGATAATGTGCAGAGCGCGCGCGCATTGGCTGAGGTCTCTCCCTCTCTCTCCGTGCGCCTCTCCCTCTCTCTCCCCCCGTGTTTGGACTTATTGTATGTTAAATGTTCAAGCATTAGAGTCCATTCACCGAAGCCTTTGATTGTTGTATGACAACCTGTCTACACGATTTTACAGCTGTCCAACACAAGAGCAAGAAAACCCGTCACAAACGAGAAGGAACTAACTTTACGCACACTTCATTGTAATTAAAGAAATTGCTTCACAGCGGAGCGCTGGTGTCGGGGAATTGATTAACTTAGAAAGAAGCTTATTGTAGGCAGTTTAAAGCGCTGTTTCTCTGGCACCGGATCTTTAGTTTATGAACTAGTTTTAAAATGACCAAAAGGCTACGGACATGGAAGACATGGTTTAGATGTGTTTTTGTTTTGTTTGTTTTGGCCTTGAATTAGCTTTATATTATATTGATACATTTAAATAGAATAGATGTTCCAATAGTATGCATAAATTATCCCAGATGCACATTAGTGCAAATAAAATTAATAATGGCCGTACATTGTAATACTCTGTTTTTCAGTCTTTTCCCTCTGACAACATTTCTTCTGTTCATATTAGGAGGGTATTTTTTATGGAAATATCTGCCCTGACAGACTTGATTTTGTTTTTTAAAAGGGCCTACATTTTAATATTGAAATTCGCCATAAATGTGAGCATATAATATCTGATATGTCATTTGCATGTCTTATTTCTGATTCATTTGTCCGATGGAAGTCCTTGTCACAATTGCCTATAATTATAATTTTAGATATCCTATGAAGGTGATAAATCTGTTTCCTGAACTTTGCCGGGCCACGGGTACATTTGATTTAGTGGATTATTCCTTGAGCCACACAGCGCAGAAGAGGTTCGCCTTTTTCTGTAGATCTGAATTTAATGCCTTTAACGACTGCAGCCCAGAGAGAAGTCAGGAGATTCTGATCTGCACCAGATGGCTCCGAGTGGATATTGCCGAAGCGCGCGAAGGATCTGTTAAAAATATCTGAGGGGCACTGATGATAATCTGGCAAACACATCAGAATAGAGGGGACGATTGTGATAACCTGCTTCAAATGTGTGCAAGAGGGCTAAAGACAAGGTGCAAAGTGTGGAGAAAAAGGGGGAAGAAGTCAAAAAGTCAACCAAAAAATATCATGGAACACAAAAAATAAAAACATATTTTTGAAAGAATATCCCGGAGAGAAGAGGCTATTTTCATGTATCTCGAACTCTTTTATTTTCTTATTTTAAAACAAGGTTTAGATAAGGCAATCCACAATATAAGTGAAAGTACAACCTCGAGGAAAGGACTAGTTCTACAGCACATTACACACAGAGGGAGGGGCTGAAGAAAGCAGAAAAGTTTGTTCTAGATTCTCTTCCTTGCACGCTGTCCACTCTTACACGTTCATTTCTGATGCATTTCAGACATGGGCTTTCACCATCTGGATCGACGCGTCTGTCCTCGCGCGCGCCTGTCACTGCCACGTACGTGACGCACGCAGGTTTCCAGCTCTTCCCCGAAGTCTCCGCGCTATGTTCCTCTGCGAAACTTAAATAAAGTTCACCTTATCCCACCGCCGCGAAGAGCTCTTTTTCGCCTAATAATTACACATATTATTCCTGTCTTTGCGGAGGCCTGTTTATAGTGTTATTTTTTTTTTTATTTTAATATGAGTGTTAAAAAACCTGCCTTTACGTGTATGTATGTATGTGTATATATATGATACATATGTGTATATATATATATATATATAAATACATACATACATACATACATTTATATTTTTATGTGTGTATAAAGTTATAGACATAAAATAATACACGTCTCATTTTAATGTTATTATTGTAAAAATATTTTCGAGCCTATTACAGTTCCGTCCCTCGTGTCGGTTTGGATTATACCAAAAGGTAACTGATCTATTGTTAAACCGCTTTACTTCCTGAATTGGTCAGACTTGGTATAAGTGGCACTTAGAGAGAAGCCGGGTCAATCGTGGATTTACAAAGAGGCCTAAATGACTCCCATGGAAGACATTGAGAGTGAGCGTGCGTTGCAACAACACCGGTTATGTTGACAGTTGGCTACCACCGCAGAGGTCAAGGGTGTCTCTGTGAACTAATAACTGTGGTGAAAGATACTCTTTTCCTGCCTCTGGGAGCACCAAAGTTGAGGAAAGGTTAAGAATCTACAGAATGTCCCTTTTGTGCTTTTCCTGAGGATTATCAAATTAGACATCAAAAGTTAATGGCATTTTTCTCAAAAGACATACGATTAAGTGAATGTGAAAATGTGATTGATATCAATATGTGTAAAACATTTTCTCTAGTGGGTGTCATAAATATGAACACAACACATGCATCTGTGCAACTTATCCATGTCTGTGTCACAGCCGCTAAAGTATTTAGAGTTAGAGTCCCCAGCCCGCTGGTGTTTCTGCCAGACACTTGATACACATGCAGCACAGCCACACCTACAAGGTAAGGAAACTAGGAATTTCCTGGATTATAAAATGGGGCTATTTGGGGGTTTTAGAAGGTCAAGACAATGTAGCTGACGACTAAACACTTGAAGGAGCTGTGCTGTTCTTAACTGTTTGACAAGAAGCAGCTGAAATATGAAAGCGTGTGTTTTGTGGCAGCTCACGCAGCAGTTTCTCAAATAATGCAGTGCAACAAGTAGCTCTGGCCATAAACAATGTTACCCCGGATGACTTGTGTCTCTATTTATACATCCTTAAATGTCAAAACGTATCCCTCACGGGACTATTTCACACCAAGGTGATTAAAATTAAACACTTGTATTTTCAGAAATACATAACTGTCATCAATTTAATACTGTGTGAGTGTGAAGTTTTAAATTCAATTGATACTTGTGGAAGTCGGCCAACACGGACTGTTATCTGGGCTGGAGATCCCACAAAAGACTCTCTGCTGAAAGTTATAAGGGGAAATAACAGTTCATTTATGTTGACACGTTTTATTTGAACTATCTTTGATTGCTAAATACTCAAGACAACAAGCAGGGATGTGACTTGTTCTTCCCCAAGGGCGTTCTCAGTGGTGGGTAATGAACGGGTGGGCCCACAGTTTGATGCGGTTAGGGGCCGAGGGCAGAGAAATGTGAGAAGGGGTGTTAATTGTTTTGGCTCTTTGCTAGGGAAACATATCAACATTAGATCTAATGGAGGTTAAAGACTCTCATTGCCATAGGGGCTGCAGCTAATGAATAGCTTTAGCTATAGCCAAAGCAGGGATAAAAGAGATATGAAAAAGAGAAGAGACAAAAGGATATAGAATATACTGGCCTTTAAAATGGTTTTAACTATATTGAGTCGGGTGTTTTATTGCATTTCAGAGCTAAGAGGATTAGCAATGCAAGCTCCTGAATTTATTTTTATATGGAGCTTTCATTGGCAGCGAGTCAGCTACCTCAAGGACAGATTGAGACACAGGTTTATTGAGAATCAGAAATCTAATTTGGTATATTAAATAGCTTTGCTGAATGATTTATGACTTGTTACTTATAAAGCTCTCAGATCAAGTGGCAGAAGTCCTCTAAAAATCAAATACTGCTTAACAAACAACATGGAAATGTGTAGGCCACCTAATAGTCTTATGAATGTTAGAGATAAAGGCAAATGCAATATGCTCTAAAGCTGTGATGAGACACATTCAAGCTCAATAGTGATGCAACATGAACACTTAGGCTGAAACAACCTAATATTACAAATGTCAGATGTTTACTTTCCAAAAAAAAGAAAACAATTCATAATCCTTTTATAGATGACACATTTCCATTATTTATTTACCGGTGTTAATTGAATTTACAGCTAAGACTTTCTTTGGGGGGAAAAGATTGCTGCAGAGTGAAGTATTCTTTTGAAATGATCCTCTTTGATAGCGGTGCAAAGGATAGACTTGCAGATAAAATGATCAACAGACAGCACGACAAATAGAATTTTAATGAGGCACTTTCTTTCATGTGCTCTTGCGTTGTGTGTACGGTTGTTAACTTTTGCTCGGTCTTTGTTCCAACTATTGAGACCTGCTGTTCTGATGTCACTGGACACATTACCTCCACCCCCAAAACTCATATCACAAAGTTTGACTCATTGAGATTGATCGATATATTACATGTTTATTCATAATTGTCTTCCTCTAACTTGAATATTTGTAACACGAGGAAGAAGCATCTGGCTAATCAGTGGGCTATCTAAACCCAGGGGGTCACAGGGTCAGGCGAATGTGGCGAGCCGAGGGAGTTTGTCACTTTCACTTATGCCGTAAGTGCTAAGTAATGTACATACCGATGTTAAAAGGCCCCCTATCAGCACAGCGGTTCACAGTTTTAAAGTTACAGCCTAAAATAGATTTCTGGACTTGTTGAAGTGACTATTGGAATCAAAGCAGCAGGGGTGAGATGTGGAATTTAGATAAGCCCATGCTGTATATTTGTCACAATTGTTCTTGGGCCTGCCTTTTTCGTAAATAAAATCAGTTTATAATGTTTTATCCTCACTCCTCCTCATGCGCTTCCAAGTGACTGAGGACGCATTCAACTCTCAAAGGGATAAAGCTACTGCAATAACGTTGACGCAGATACCGGTGGTTATAATTTATGACACCCATAG